GTGTGTTTATCCTTTTTGGAGACACAGGAGTGGGTTTGTGAATAAAGCTGTGAGGTCTGTTTATTTGGCTCCATCCATGAGCTGGACAATCTGGGCGAAGTAGAGTGTAGGTTTTTTTTTTTTACCAGCCCGTTTTAGGACGATGAATGAGCGGTAACACAATCTCCTTTTGGTGCTCTTCCTCACCAAAACAAACCCTGAGACCAATGCCTCCTGGGTAAATGGTTTGCGAGCACTCGCCGTGACATGCGCCACCTGTCACCTTCAGATCAACCGCCACACACAGACCTGCACAAACCTTCGCCCCGCTCCTCTTGAAGTTGTTTGAAACTTAAAATCTCAGAAGCACACCCATCTCTGCTCAACTTCACCCATTGTTTACCCAAGACCAAGTGGCACTGGGTCGTCCTGATCAGCATGATAAACGTGTAGAACAAACGTCCCATCAAACTTTCCCACAATCGCCAGGCGCTCGTCACGCTGCCCGCAGTACAACCCTTAAACAAACAGTGCCTTTCTTCTGCCCATTCATCTTCTTTATGTGCACACACGCACACACACACACACTAAGCTTTGCAGTGTGTGCTCCAGCTTGTAACTGCTGCTGTTCTCACAGCTGAAGTCCTCCCGTGTGACCCCGGCTGCAGAGGATGTGGGTTGTTTGCACAGATGCATCGTCTGATAATTAAACGGTATATTGCATCTCACTGGTGACAGAATCTGCACTGCTAAAATGAGCGTGTCCTTGCCCGCCTTTTTTTCCCCCCACTCTGTAGTTTTTTTCAAGGCTTGTCTGGTCACCAGTCAATGTCTTTCTTTCCACATGTCTCTGTACCAGATCACAGATACATGGCCTTGCAAAAGTTTCCAAACCCTTTGAACCTTCGCACACTTTGTCCTGTCACAGAACCTTCGCACACTTTGTCCTGTCACAGTGTATTTTATGATTTTTTTATGTGTGCGTGTGACACTCAAGTTTTAATGGAGTGGAAGAAAAATTCTGCACATTAGCTTTCCACATTATATTTTATTCACAAATCTGAAACATAATGGTGTGCTTTTCTTTCCACCCCCCTTTTATACTGATACCTATAAATAGAATCCATTGTAGCTTCCAGAAGTCTTGAGTCTTCTGAAAAGTGCAGCATTAGCAAACATCAGAAAGACTAAGTTTTGAAATCAGTAGAAAGCTCAGAGATGTAGTTGTTAACTCTATATCATGTACTCTGCAAATTGACCTGCAAGCAGAAAACATTATGTTGAATGCAATCCTGTTTAAAGTGTGCCTAATCAGCATCTTTAAGCTCTTCAGAGGCCTGGTAGTGAGCCATTGATTCAATGCATGGATGCATCTTAAAATTACAGGATGGTAGCTCTTGAGGACTGGACTTGGGCTGCCTTAGGAGGTGAGAATGTTGCTGGTTCGACTTGTGAGTCTTTACCTCAAATACTTTTCTGGGATGAACTGATGCAAAGCAGTGAGACTTCTCATCTCATAAATCCTCTTCTGGGAGAAAATTCCCTTGGACCAACTCCTAATTCTTGTAGAAAGCCTTCCTGGAAGAGTTGTAGCTATCTGCAAAGCGTCGATAGACCCGTATCATTATAAATCCTATGGATTAAAAATGGAAGGCTGCTTCAGAAATGAACATTTAAATGTTGCGCGGAGTTGTACTTTTCACATGATTTGAAAATAAGCAAAAGGTCTTGTTAATTAAATATGTTTGGGTTGGTTGTTTTAATTTTATTACCCCTGTCTTTTAAAACGAAGTAACAGTGTGACCTGGGATGCCTCAGCTTGCCTCCATACACTACCCAGTTTCTGACCCAGATATAAACCTAAAAAAATTTCCATGCCGTCTGGCTTGTGAATGCTGTCTGCGAGTTGTGCCTCAGTGTTTGTGTCTGTGGTCCTGAGACTTTCTGCTTGTGTCCAGACCAGATGCATATGAAACATAAACATTTAGATTGGAAGCTGAAATGTCTACTAATGAATTCAGTCATGTTGTTATTGTTGCAATTAAAAAATAAGACTTTTTTTTCTCTCTCCCCAACATCGTTTCCAGAAATAGATGGTAATTTGGCGTGAGAAAGAGAGACCTTTTTTCTTTCTTGCGTCAGCGTTTCTGTTAAGTACTAACAGACCGTAGTGGACCATTGTGAGCCATTCTTTATGTTTAGACAGTTTTCTTGTCGGGTTGGTCTGGACTTGGTGTGTGGTTGCAAAAACCAACCATTGTTCAAACTGTAGATACACTTTAAATCCCTATAGCTCTCCGCAGGTTTATCCTGGTTATTATCCTGGGTTATCGTAACTGCCGCTCAAGCTTTGTCTGAACCTGCTGCGACAGGTTACAGTGGAGCATTAGGGCCCAGTGGCAGCTACAGGAGACCATTTCTGTGCCTCTGTGTCTGCATTCAGATCAGCTATCATACTTTAAACTGCAACTTATTTGTGAATTAAATATGATGGGATGGACTCACTAATAGCTAAACATGATCAAACTTTAGGTGTAAGTGTGCAAGACCTCAAAACTGAAGCACACACACACAAGGTTTTGAGTCTGAGAACTCTGACAACCTTTAATCCTTTCATTATGTTTTTTGTTTTCCTCTTCCTTGTTTTGGGCAAAAAGGTGAAGGCAAACAGGAATTCCGGCATTCAAAGGAAAAACACACAGCCCCTGGGCTGAGAAAACAAGAGGGAGGAATTTTCAAGGGAAGAGAAGGGACCTGTGTGTGTGTGTGTGTGAGTTTGTGGAGGGAGGGCATGCACGTGTGCATTGCTATTTGGCAGGAAGAAGAGCAGCTGCTTTGTTCATATGGTTGCGTTTGATACATTCATGTCTTTTGCATGCTATGCGGGTAAGGAGGGTCACCTGTCTGGGTTGCTGGTTTCTTTAATATTTGATGTATTAATATTTGCTGTTTAATGTCTTGCTGTTTTTCTTTCTTTTATTTTTTATAGGTGTTGCAACAACAAACCAGTGCATTTTTTTTAATTTGACAGACTAACACAAATAAAACCATTTCTAATTTTAAAGTGAAAGGAAAAGATGCATGAGTGTGAAAATAAATACAAAAATCCTAAAAGTTTGCCATTTTTTTATGTTAAACTTGCCTGAGTTAATACTTTATAAGACCAAGAAAAAACATTTTTGCACCTTTTTAAAGCAAAATTAAAACCTAAAAATCACTGAGACCGATTTTGTAATTAAGTCTGGACTTTGACTAGGCCATTCTAGTACATGAATGTGCTTTGATCCAACCCAATCTAGCTCTGGATTTTCTCTTTACTGTTGCTGTCCTGCTAAGAGGTGAATGTTTTCTTCCAATTTTCCCTGTGCTTGGCTCCGTCTATCTTCTCATCAACTCTGATCAGCTACGTTGTCCATGTTGAAGAAAACCATCCCCCCTAGCACGACAGTACAGAGTTCAGGGGTGTAATTTTTTATTTATTTATTCTTTGTTTTCTACTCCATGCAACCTATTTTCTTGTAAACCAAAATGTTCAATCACGTTTTGTTCTGGGAAACTGCAAAAAGGACTTTGTCTGGCTGCCTTATTTGAGCAGTGCAAATTTGTTCAATAACGTCCTCTAGCAAGTTTTTGACCCCTTCATAAAACTGCTATATAGATTACAAATGTAATCAACATTTGCATTGTAGCTTCTGAAGGCAATCTGCTGCATTTCATTTAAGGATAAATGAAATTAATTAATCCAATTCAGTGGAAATAACCTCTTTTGCAAGGCACTGTTCACTAATTGTTTTTGTTCCATGCTGTCAAAAACAATAGTTTTTTTAGGGAGCATGCATTTCAAATTTTCTCATGTGCTCAAAAAACTAAACTTGTTAGGTTGCCAGGCTTTTTACTGATGTAACAAACATTTCTGTTGGATAAAACCTCCTTGTTCTGCCTGCTTGACTGGTAGTATGTTACTGATTTTAACCTGAATTTATCTTTTAAATCTTAGTTTTCCTTTAATCAGCTAAAGTCTGTTTGAAGTCAGAGGGATTTCCAAAGTAAATAAGGATTTGAGTCAGTGGATATAACTAATTCAGGTGTGCCTACAGATGTGTGTGTGTGTGTGTGTGTGTGTGGGTGTGTGTGTGTGTGTGGTGGTCAGGTTTGTAGCGTGTCTGCTTCCCCACATGGAGTTCATTACACCTCTGCTGGATGTTTGTTTTCTCTATTAATCCCTGTTCCTCCATTATCAAGGTCTCAATCAAAACAGTCCCAAACCTCGGCGCTGTAGGCAATCTGGCATTCACACACATACCCACACACGCACACATGCACAGGTACCTATTGCTGCTACTTGTGAAGGCGAGATTTCCCCCATCTACACCGGTTCAGCTAATTTTTTAACTTCCGTTCTGTTTTTTGCTTGTTTTTTCTCTTGCCGTCATGTGCTTCTGCGCTTAAAGGAAGGATTTGGGATTTTTATGGACCGATTAAACGTACCCTCAGGACCTGGCAGCATCTGCACGTTGTATTAGGATGCCTGGAACAACTGTGAACTTTATATTAGCATTTTTAATTGTTTTCGGGGTACACAGAAGCAAATTGTTTTCCCAGATGAAAGCCAACCATGCAACCAAGCACACATGGATTCCATTTACCTGCTGATGGCTTTGACCTTTCAGCAAACCAGCTTGTGTGTTTTGATGTGCGTGATTTGCATTTTCATCACTTTGTAAGACAACAGTGTCCACGTAAGAAAACATGGAAAAGAGAAACGTGGCGGTTTGAAAACATCCGCTGACTCATTGCAGGAAAGGAAAAAACATTTTTAATTAATTAGATTTAGTTTACAAAGAGTTTTTGTGGCAAGATTTAGATTTATGGTAAGAGATTTATAATTTTAGTGCCAACAGCATTTCCTGGTGTAATCTTATTAAGGTTTGCATCTGTTTTCTTCTGACTTATGATGAGATCTTGGTAAAGTTAAAAAATATAATTTGCATCTTTTCCTCTGTGCATTTGTCTTCCTGCAGGCCACTCGTGCCACCCTCACCACCCACTGTTCCTCCCTGGGCGACTCTCTGAGAAAAGAAAATGAACTTGCACTGATCATCGATGGCCAAACTCTCAAATACGCTCTGTCCTTCGAGCTCCGCCAGGCCTTCCTCGACTTGGCGCTGTCCTGCAAAGCTGTAATCTGTTGCCGGTAGGGAGGAATCATTTGTCATTTATTGTCCATTTATCATACAAAACCTTCTTATGTTGATGTAAACAGATCAAGAAGGATAGAAAGCAAAATTACTGAATGTGATTTTTCTAAAAAAGCGAAGAAAAATGATTTAAAAATTTTCTTTCTATTGCATTATAATAACATAAAAGTAAGAAATGTAAATCCATGCTTTCAGATGCAGTTCACTTATTGAATGTGTTTGTTTGGGAGTTTCCTTATCTTGTTATTATTTTACAAAATTATTGGTTTCATCCTTTTTTACAAACCCATTAAACATCTAGTTTCTGCTTTCCACAACGTTAGTATTTTAAAACTTTGATTTTATGACGGCGTGCAAGAAGGCTCACTGAAATAAAAATATACAAGACAAAATATGAAATAAACACATTTATGGCAAAACAAAAATCTTAAGTTTCTTAAACTAACATTGCACATTTATAGACTGTAGTTACTTTTATACATTCTTAAAAAAGAACAACAGTTCCAAGTCGCAATCAAGTCAACTCTCAAATGTAAATGTTTTGTGGCTCAAGAAATTCAACAGTAAAAGTTTCCCTCTAGTCTGGAGGTAAAACGGCAGTTTTATGTGTTTTGACAAAGACCGACTGAATTACACTACATCACTTGATTCTTTGTTGTGAGCCTGAGAGAAAGTGAATGAGGACGGTGAAAGTCGTGTCATGTTCCTGCGTTGAAATGCCATCAGTAACTCACTGCTGATGTCCCTAAAATGGATGCTGTCTTTTGACATCACAGCTGATTTCAAAGTGTATCTAGTACATAAAGCAAACTTCTTTTGGCCATGTTGCAGTTGGAACCAGTTGAGTGTTAAGAGTTTTGTACATGTTTCCCTGAGTGCATTTCTATGTGTGTTTGTAGTCAAGAGGGATGTAAAAGAGTCTCTCTTCTGTATCCAAGCCATATCCGGACTTTGGTCTCACAGGCTTTACAAACAGCCTCCAACTTCCCTTCCCCTCACCCTCTTTGTCCAATCCTCTTCTTTTTTTAAAATTTCCATCTGATGAGGTCAAGAGTACCTTGATCTAAATAAAAAAATTCTCCAGATGGAATTTGCACCAAGAAAACATCCCTTTACAAATACAATTAGCAAGTTGTCTTGGTTGTATATTTTCAAAGCCTTGTGCAGGCTATGAAAACTAGTGAAACAGCAGCCCACAACAATCACTAAAATTATCACCCAAGATGTTTTTCACATGATAAAATGAATGAATCGCAAACAATGTCATAACTTTAAAGATATAAAATCTAAACAGAATGTTTTGCTAACTTCTTGTAGCAGCTAGCTTTACTGTTGTGCATTAATTTGTTCATAAACATGAAGCTTAAGGTTTTTTTTTACTGTTTTTATTGTCTAACATTAACAAGGCTCAATTTTTAGGCCCTACTTGTGAATAAGTACATTTTCTTTAGTGTAATTTTTATTATCACAATGTTAAGGTTAAACAAGGTATTAATTAATGTTTCTATTATGGTTGCACTTTGTTCATCAACCTGGGGGAAATTATTTATAGACTTCATTTTACTTGTTGCTGTTTTGAAGAACATGGGAATTTTTTTTTGTGACTGAACAATAATCTGTAACAGTAGCCATCTTTTGATTTTGAGTTTACAAACTTCCAAAACTGGGTTTGTAACTTTGATTGTACGTACTTCCACCATTGATTCTATTGAAGTAAACAAACTTAGAAAACCATGTTTCATTTTAGCTTGGCTATATCTTCTAATACACAAGATATCAAAATGTGACTCTATTTACTTTTTAAACAATCTGATTATGGTGACATAAGATTTTATCTTGTAGCTTTGTTGTCATCTTTGATCAAAGACAAATTAGTCCAAATTGCATACAGAAGATGTTTTTTAAACACTGAGGAATCTGCCGATCAACAAGAAGCCTTTTATCAAAATTACTGTCGATGGTTAGGTGATGTGAAGCTAAATTTAAAATCCAGCGATCAGATAAACTTGCATAAAAAAAACAAAGCAAACGGTTGCTCAATGAAACGGAACTGTTTGCTTGGACTTATTATGTACCGAGGGAGACCCCATCTCCTCAACAGGGAACCAGGATTTTTGGAGATTTCTCTCCTGAGGAATCAAATCTGATGAGACTTAGATCTGAATTTCACTAAAATTGTCTTTGAGATGAGTTATGATTTTCTGTGTATGATGAATCAAAGTGGGGGAATGGGTTGTGTGTGTGTGTGTCTGCCTCTTGCTCTCAGGGGGCTGTTGGGTCGAGTGTGCTTGGTACGCTTGGGTTCCTGACTTCACTGTGCGTTTGTTTATAGGAGGCCTTAGCGGCTGCTTATTTTCTGCTCAGTTCCACCGTGAAGAGCTTTCGGGAACCTTTCATCTTCCGAGCTCCACTTTACACAATCCCAGACTCTGTTGGCCGTGTTTAGAGGGAAGCTAGAGGCGGAGATGAAGAGAGATTTGTGGTCAGAGGCCAAGAGATGCAGGAGCGCGCACTTCAGATGCAGAAACAGGAAAAGCGGAGTTAGGTCCCATCCTTCCTTAATGGCCTCGGAAGTGAAGCAGCTGAGGTTTAGTTCCTGCTACTCTCCTGTGGTGGCTGGGTGATGCGGGTTATAAGAGGTTCATGTTATTGAAACAGCAAAGCTTTCCACATGATTTCATGTGTGCAAGAAAACCACTTGGAGCTGGTTATTTACCTCATCTGAAGAATGGTCCAAATTGATTCCTTGTAGCTCGTGGGCTTCATTTAAGCCCCTCTTGAGGACAGGGATCATCGTACAGTATGCCTGTAATTTAATTTAGTCATAAAAATCATCTAATTTTGTTCCCTGGCCATGTGACGCCTCATGCAGCTGGCTATAATCTAATTTTGTAATGTCGTTATCACAAGACTTGCACACATGCAAGGGGATTGCTTTAACCTGACCTCCAGGAATCACACTTTTTTCTTTTTAACAGTAGCTTTCAGAGACTTTGACTTTCAAGAAAATATAGCTTAACTAATGCTATTTGTCAATCATTCATGTCAGTCATTCATGACTGAGAGGGAAGTAATGCTGGTTACTACAAGAGTTTGACGCATCAAAGAACTGCTGCCGATTTATGATCTCCAGTTTAATCCGCCGATACAGACTTTAGCCGATTCTGATTTTTCTTTAAGAAATTCAACCATGAAAACAAGCAGCTGTCAGTAGCACAGATATTGACAGATGGACAAATGCATCAAATCAAATCAAATTTGATTTGTATAGCACATTTCAGCAACAAAGCATTTCAAACTGATTTGCATCATAAAAACATGTTAATACAAAGTCATAGAGCACACAGTCAACAATTAAAATATTTAGTCAAGTTCCATTAGTAATAAAAAAAATGCATAAGGCACATTTGGCACTTTTAAGTGCCAAATGAAAGTTTCACTCTTTCATTGCTTTGCAGGTAAAGATGCATTTGAGAAAGTTTGTTTTTCTAATGAATCTTGGAAAAACTAACTTCCACTGAGGCAGCGTCATTCTGCATCAATAGTTTCTTTTCTTTCTGTGTTTTTGTCACACCTTGCAGTAACCAATCAGTTGATGCAAGGCTGTCAGTAATAGAGTGAAGCAAAGACTAAATAATTTGTAGTTGAAGTTAAACTGTCTTTTTTGCTGTTTAGTATAAGCTTTTTTTGTGCTATATTAAAAATTTTTTGCACTCACTCATCTTGCAAATGAGTGAGTGGATGTCCTGTGAAAGATGGTTCAGAATTAAATCTAATTTTTGATATAATCATAAAAATATAGCATACATGTGCTATCAAACTGGAGCTTAATATCAGTGATAGAACTGAAAGCTCTGTAGTATCTGGCTACAGAGGTCTGTAATATATGTCTGAATCTGTTCAATATTTCAACAAAGCTCATGCAAAAATAAAAAATATGGAGAATCTATCTGCTTGATGCTCAACAAAAGCTTCTACAATTACAAGTGCTTTACTTCCTTTGTACTCCGTCTCTAATCCCAGTGCTTGTATCACGTTGCTGCCATGTTTCCTCCTATGAGACCTATCTGTTTTCACTGTACATTTTTCAGGTAGTACATGATGAAACTCTCAAGAGCTTGGCTGCAAGTAACTGGAATCTGATAGAGGGCTTTTTACACACTCGTAAGGACAAATTCACTCCAGGGTGCAACTTCTGAGAATGCTAACACTGTGTGTGTGGCCCACGATTGTTTCTTGCACACACAAGTTATATTTTGTTTCTGGAAGGAAGCTGAAGAAATTTGAAACGTTAGCACGACTAGTGAATTATTGATCTACATTTTTTTTTGGTGCCTTCTCTGATTAAATTGTTGAACAAAGAATATAGTTTCTCTTTCTCTCAAGGTAAAATGTAGTTTTTTAGTTCTTTTTAGATCAACAAAACTGTGTGCATGACCAAGAGTAGAGTTTTTCAAGGAATGCACATAAATACAGGTTGTAATTAAAAAAATAAAACATTCAAAACACAGCTGCATGAGTCACAAGAGATGTAGAAGCAAACGATGTACTCTTAAAAAGAGGGATTTGGAGCTGAATTTCAGCGGGGAATTTGAGAACTATAATTTGAAAAATGGATAGATCCGCTTCTTGGGATCACATCAGAAAATCAAAGCAGTTTTTAAGCAATCATTCTAAAATGGAAAGTGTATGTGGCACATCAGTTAACCTTGCAAATAATGACTCCTAAACAGATAATGGAGCCTTGATCCCAGCTGAGGGGATGCTTCTGGAGGAGCTGCTCAGGTTGAAGAATCTGCTGACATAACGTTTACTCATGCACTCCAAAATACTTTTTTGTGAATAGATTGCATAAAAAAAGTAAAAAATAAACAAGAAGCTGCATTTATAGTTTGGCACAATCTGTTTTCTTTGTGATCCACGATAGTGGCGACATCATGCTGCATAGAAGTAAAGTTTTTTTATTTTGTTGCTTTTTTTATTGTATAACACATTTCAGCAACAATGCAGTTGAAAGTGCAACACATTAAAATGGCATCATGCAGTCACCATGGAAGCTTTACTCTAGCAGATACAGGAAAATTAATGATGGGGGTGGAATGGAAAGAGCAGATGGAAAATATTACTCCGTCCTATTTTATCCAGCAGGACTGTGTTTTAGTCTTGCACCTGTAACTGCAGCAAATGGTTGTTCTGGAAAGTATTTGTTCAGAGAGGTTGATTACAAATGCATGCAATACTACCTTAGTTGGGGGGTGGGGGGGGGATATTAAAAACCATTGTCTCAGTACTTTGTGCTGGTCACAAAGTATGACCAGCACAAAGAGATTCAACAGCACAATATTTCAAATCATAGAAGTGGCATTAATGCTTGTGCAAGATGCTTTAGAAACCAGTTACATTGAGTTTCTAAGTGACAGCCAAGCATAAAGCAATAATATGCATGACTATAAGTATTTTGGTCTATGCATCCATAGACACCTGTCAGTAACCGTAGGTCGTCTTCTCAGTGGCTCAGTAAAAGCACCCTGACACCTTGCCATCCTCCCTCAGCGTCTTTCAGGGAAGCACCTGTAATTGAGCCTCCTGCCGTCTTCTTTTGTCAGTGAAGAAACAGAACCGGTTATAGGCTGAGTATCAGTGATACGGGTCAAGAGGGTGGAGTACCTCTGGAAGCTCCCTGAACACACCCCGCTCAAGATGCATGCAGTCAACACACATCAAGGATGACTGTCACCAACTCTGTTTAGCAGAGAAGTGAGCATTTGGTTAAAACTTCTGGTAACTGTGGTGTTTCCAGCAGCCTCTTAGAAACTGGCTCTCCCGTCTCTGCTGGCTTTGTTGGCATTAATGACTGATTCAATTTATACTTTCTTTTACAATACATTTATCTTCTGATTTAATCCCCAGTTCAGGCAGCTGCATCCATTATTATTCTAATATTAACTTCAAAATCTCCATTTATTCCCTACAGAGTGTCGCCGCTGCAGAAGTCTGAGATTGTGGACATGGTGAAAAAGCACGTGAAAGCCATCACTCTGGCGATAGGCGACGGCGCGAACGATGTGGGCATGATTCAGACAGCTCATGTTGGGGTGGGAATCAGCGGCAATGAGGGCATGCAGGCCACCAACTCCTCAGACTACTCCATTGCACAGGTTAGAGCAGATTTCTGGTTTCTTTTTAAAGACTGTGATCCAAGCAGATTTAAGAACATAATTCAAAATGTCTCCACGTGTATTTGTTAGAGATTATAGACCTTTACCTTAACTCTGAGATTTCCAAAAGGCCACCAACATTACAAATGTGTTTAGTCCTGTGTCAGAGGTTGAAAACTGTAAAGGGTTAAATGAAGCCCTTTTTCTGTTCTCTGTTAAGCCTTCCTGTTATCATTCTGATGTCTGTCACTCTCACAGCAGTCATGTCTCACCATTTAATAAACATAGAACTGTTTGTTTACCGGTGTGAGGAAACATTAATCCAGTCAACTAACAACCTCCGGTCACCAAGTGATTTCTGAGTGCGGGCCTACTTACGACCAGTTGTATCATCGGAAAAACCAGCCGATGATTCAGTCTCAAATGGCTCGAGAACAAAATGTTAGTGTTTACAACTTGAAAGCTTTTTTAATGGTTTAAAATCTGTGCAAGGATTCCACAAGTCACCTAAAACTTTGCAGACAGGTACAGCTGTTTCCTAAAACCAAGCTAATGGCTGGGTAGAAATAACAGTGTTTAAGTGTAAAGTATCAAATATTTTCAAGCATCTAAGTTATAGTTTTTGGGTTTTTTTTCTTAGAAACAACTATTTTTGATGTAATCTCCTTTTTGGGAAAGTTGTCGACGTTGATGAAACGTCTTCAGCTACTGAGTTCTGGCTACTTGCTCTTCCTCTCGTCGTTCTCTTTAACATCACCCCAGGGGAGGGAATGAAAGGAGATTTCACCTACAAAGATCAGTGAAGTATCATGTTTTCCATATGAAAACATTGCTCTCACCAGGCCTTTACAGTACAAACTAAGCCAATTCAATGATAGTCAAAACACAAGCAGATGCAGGTATAAAGATTTCACTCATATTCACTTTGGTGGTCATTATTTTAGGAGGCAGTGCTTTGTGTTGCAGTAAATGTAAAGTTAATAAACAATGAATGCATGCGTTAGCATTTTTAGAAATAATTTTTTTTTATCATATTTTATGTAAACTTAAATCGTGTCCTTGCTTCCTTCAGTTTTGCTAACTGTCCACAGATGAGAGCCATCAGGTGAATCTAGTGGCTTAAATGTAAGAATCCACAAAACACAAGTCCAAATGAAAAATGTATATTTTATACCACCATTGAGGTCAACAAGAGCAGAAGACAGCAAGTTTAATGGATCTAAAGTTTAAAAAAAATATGGTGGCTTGGAGAACTTAAGACAAAGTGCTCTTAGATGTTCCAAATTGAGATTTTATAAATGGTCTGATCGGCATGTGAAACCCCCTAAAAAAGCACAACTGGAAGTGACTGGAGGTTGTGACTGAAATAACTTCCAAAAGTTTCCTAAATATAAAAGACAGCAGTATTTTGTTGAAAAAATATGGCAACATTTATTTCCTCAAATTTTGTGATTCTAGCATTGACTGCAGTCTGGTTCAGTTGTTTTCCAGCTTCAAGTTGACCATGTTAACTACTGTAAGCGATTAAACGACACTAATAGCAAATGTGTTACTTAACCGTCTTTGCATAAGTATTTATATCTCTTCAACCTTTCCACATTTAGTGATGTGACGACAAACTACAAAGTATCTTTTTGGCATTTTATGTGACAAACGCATTGTATTTATACTGAAATAAAATTATGCAGAAGGAAACTCGATTTACAAATCAGCTGAAGGCAGTTAGTTATACTGAATGAAAACAATTTATTGTTTTCCAAAGTTTCATCACTTCGTTTTTCTCTACCAAATAAAAGGAAGTTTGTTGTTGACTAAATGTTCAGCATGAATACCTTTCTGAGGAATTCCAGTGCTGTGTGTGACAACTAAATAAAAACCATCAAAAATGGAAAAAAAAAGAAAAAATAAAAAAACTAATTTGTTGCTGTAATTATTACAACACTTTAATATGCAGCAGCATTTTAGTGGTTTGAGGTCTGGATCTTCCAACTTTGAGTCAGAATTCCAGACTCTGTATGTTGTCCTTTGACATCCAAATATAAACTAACGACCCATATTAAAAAGGGAGAAACAGAAGAACCAAAGTTTGGGACGATCTCTTTCTGCAGGATCCCATTTGGAAAATGTTGTTCAGGGGAAAATGGTTAAGTTAATAAACTTTTATGAAAGCACACAGAGGAGTCTCAGGATATTGCAATGTCGTAATGACAATGAGGGTTGCTATAAATAAAACTTAACTAAGTATTAAGATCTCACTGCCTGAATGTAGTCTGTGCATCACTTGGAGTAAATCACATTTATTATTTCGATCCCAGCACTGCAGTTTTATTAAAAAAGTTGCTTTTGATCATTTTGCTACTTTACATGTAAAAAGCTCTAAATATTCCTTCAAAAGCATTCAGAGCCGTTAAACAAGCTTTTCCAATTAATCGCATAGCTAGCGTTTATTAACAGTTCTTTGGATACATGTATTAATGTCAGTACTAATCAAATAGCAATATATACTGAAGCTGTATTAAACTAGCTCATCTACATTTTAAAGATCTTTAAGCATCTATTGGCTGAAACCTTTTCTTGCCTTGGTTGCCATCTTTACATCTCCATTTGTCCTCTGAAGTTTTTCATTCCAACTCTTGTGTTTCTCACATGATCAGAGGCATTTCTGTCTCTCATTTGTATCTCCTCAGTTCTCCTATCTGGAGAAACTCCTTTTGGTCCACGGGGCGTGGAGCTACAACCGCGTCACCAAGTGCATCCTCTACTGTTTCTATAAGAATGTGGTCCTCTACATTATCGAGGTAAGAGCCCACACACCCACTTGGCCACATTAACAGAGACATTCAGCAGCTGTTTGTCGACATGGCTGACAGTGACGGACGAGGTGCCCTTCTGGTGTCTGCTTTCTGTCTCCTTTCCACACACGCATACACACACACACACACACACACACACAGTATATATATACATATTACTTTAAAAGAGTCTTTACATCAGCCATGGCAAAACCTTGGCCCTTGAGGTCAGCTGCTGTGTGTGCATGTACTTAAATTACATGTTTTATGTATTTATCATCTGGGAACCAAATAATCCCTGCAAAGAGAAAGACTTGTAGGGTTTTTTACTTGGGATTATTGTACAGGAAGTAGTCGTCACAGTTCGAGAAATACCTGAAAGATGATTGGATTGTCTTTATTAGATGAAGGGGTCTGCTGTCCTTGGTCAGCTGTCCTCACTCCCAGCAACTCGCTCTGCTGTAGAAGGATGCCAACAGGTGCAGGTTCTCACAGGAGGCGCTGGCTGTTGCCCGGCGCCGGTTCTAACCACGGTTCTTTATCAGTAAATGCACGTTTCTCTGATTGTCTCACGTTTTGGGAGTTCAGCGACGCATTCTGTGCCAAAAGTTAGAGATGAACTCTGTCCATTTAGAGGGGATGCAACAAGTGGGAAGGGTGTGTTTGTGTGTGATTTCATCCTTTGGCTGTTTGCTCCACAATATGCCCCCCAGTAACACCACAGCTCTTGAGCAGCAACCTCAAGAATTTCATCTATCTGACCTCAGATCAGCTTGTGGCCTGCGAAACTCCACACTGGACCATTTGTAATAGTCTTTCGCTGCCAGTCAGAAGCTGACACACATTAATCATGTATGTCCAATTATTATTGGACTTTTATGAATTATTTGTTTCATACAAACCTAGATGTAAAAATCCTCAAACATTTTGTTATCTCTGACCAAGTTGCACCTGGACGTCGGGCTTTTTGTAGCATTTGCAAGCAATGACATCAACATGGTTTTGACATTGTTTTGGTTTGATTTACAACTACTCTTCTTATCAGAGTTTGTAAAGGATAAATTAGGTATTGCTTTCACATCGCAAATAATACCTTAAATAGATGGCATCCTTCAAGAAGCTTAATGTTGGCCTGCTTTGTCCTATCAAAACAAGTTTGATGTGTGGAGGGGATCATTGTCCAGCTGGAACATCAATCTTTGTCCAACTTTCAACCATCTGACCCAAACTGGTGCCCTCAAATTATTGGGAATTTTCTAATAACCAAGGAACTGAGAAAACCAATGTTGACAAAGGTTCTGGCTATGAGGAAAGCTCAAAAGCTGAATCTTTGCAAGGAAGGTTAAGAGCATTTGTTGAACAAATATTCAGCCAGATGAAGATATTAATTTGAGTATAGCCACATATTTGTTGTTTACTATTGACCCTGTGGAAATGAGGAAAACATAGCTCAAACATGAACAAAGTGCAATAATTTATATGAAAGTCATATATATGATACCTTTTATAATGAGCATGTGGGGAAAAAAAAGCTCAGATGTTTCTTTACAATCTCAGTTCTGATGTGACTCTGCAAAGGTTACTTCCAGATTTTCAAGTCATTCCTTTAAGAGAGACAATTATCCATGTCTTTGCATTGTTTCCACCATCATCTCTTATAAAAAGTTAGCTTTCCTTGCAGACCTTGCTCCTCTCGTCACCTCTCACCCCTCTGTCTGTGTCCTAGCTCTGGTTTGCGTTTGTGAACGGCTTCTCCGGTCAGATCCTTTTCGAGCGCTGGTGCATAGGCCTCTACAACGTGGTGAGAACCTCCTACACTTTCACCTAGTCATCTCTCTTGCTCTCTGCCTATCTCTCCATGGATCTCAAGCACTCTGTCTTCTTATCGCTGCTCTGTCCTCATGCCAGAGACGTCTGCATGGATGCATGTCTGGATGGGAGCGTGCTTGTGTGCGTCCTGGCAACTCTGTGTGTACGCTGCGTCTGGCCGCAGATGCCTTGGGGCTCCTCTGTGTTTAAAACATTATGGAATTCCTTTTTAGCACTGACCATCTGATAAGAACAGTGACTGCTCAGCAAAGCATGTGTGTGCTTTCTGCAGATATTCACCGCGCTGCCCCCGTTCACTTTGGGGATCTTTGATCGACCGTGCAGCCAGCAGAACATGCTCCGCTTCCCACAGCTCTACAGGATAACCCAGAATGCCGAGGGCTTCAACACCAAGGTATGCATGTGGAAAAAACGTGTTTACCCCCGTTTTTCCTGGTCTGCATTGAACTTGTGGATGTTTGTGATTTGATGAGTGATGCAGGGTGTTGGGTTGGGATCTGAGATAAGTAAACAAAGTTTTAATAAAATTCACAGCTGTGGAATAAGAAACTCTTTCATTTTAGCCTGTGTGTGTGTACTGCACAGAAAGCAGCTTTTGGTGACACATGGGGAATGTTGTGCTTTAAGAAATTGCTGTTTTGTTACTTTTTTTTAACCTGCAAGACCCATATTGTGTAAGTGCTATCCATTTGCTTCTCTGGTAAAAAAAAAAAAAAAACCAAAACATATATACGTATATTAAAATAGGTCTTTTAAAAACATTTCCCTCTTATTTAGCTTAATCCTGATTTGGAAACTAGTTTACCTATATTCATTCATTGGGAATAAAAACAAAAGCACCAGTGATTTTTTTTTTCTATGACTAAGAACACATTCTGTTAAACATAACAGAAACATTTTTGTAATGTTATATTTTCCTTTTTGAAATAATCTGTCATATTCTGTTTCCCTGAGGTACAAATATCAAGTAAAAGAGGTCAATGTCTCCTGACATTCTAGAAAAGGGGAAATATGAGAGAACAGTAGGCAGGAAGTTGAAGCTGTGAGGTATTTATAGGTTGCCTTTAAGGGCTGATCATTCAGGCGCTAAGTTGAATATTGTTTGATGCCGCAAACAAAATTTTGGTAGCGTCCAAACTTTTTGTCACCAAATTTGTCAAGTCAAAAGGATTTGCAGACCAAAGAAAAGCGTCTCTTGTTTTAGCCCAAAAAACATTTTGCTAAATAATAATCTATGCATTCACAATTCTTAAAGCATTTAATAGTTTAGAAAAATAAATAAAATAGCCTTTTTTTGTAGCAAACAGATGTTTAAATTGTTGGAGATCCAAAGCTTACCTCATTAAAATGGTGGCAATGAGTTTTCAAATTCTTTTGGCACTGATTGGGGAAAAAAATATGAAGTTTTAGTCCCTTTCCAGCAGGGTAAAGTCAGTGGATAAATGTGGTCCTGTCTACTATGAAATCAAAGAGAATACAAAAAGTGTGGGCATCAATATTATTACACTGTATTTTCCAGACAGGTCATGCCGAAGTACAGGTCACAACAGTCAAAAAATGAATGTTGCACCAGACGATAAGTCACATTTATTTAAAAACCATAAATGTGACTTATGGGGAACCTCGTCCGTGTTGAGATGATCTGGTGATTCGTTGTTTTCAGTTGCTTTTCAACAAACTCCAAGAAAACTGCTGACTTTGTCTTGGAGGTCTGCTGGCTGTTTCTGACCTTTAAAAAGGTTTCTCACACCTTCTTGCAGGTGTTTTGGGGACACTGTATCAACGCACTGATTCATTCCATTATCCTCTTTTGGTTTCCACTCAAAATGTTAGAGCACGGTGAGCAACTCACATTTTTTAAAAATAAAATAAAGCCAGTTCTGGTTATTAAAGCTTTACATGTGTTGTCCACAGATTCCCCGTTTAGTAATGGCCAGGGAAACGACTACCTGTTTGCAGGAAACATGGTCTACACGGTAAGCTTCTTATTTATTTTCTGCAAATTTGTGTCATGTATTTATTTGGGGCTTTCAAATGAATTGTAGCCTTTTAGGGATGGAGTGAGTAGACGACTTCTGTAAATTTTAAAACTAAGAACTTGGTGCACATGCTGGAATTTGCCCCTTTTTGCCACCCTCAATTCCTCAGACCAAAATTTTACATGGCGGATAAAACTAATGTTTGATTAAATGTCTTTCGGCGCATTGCAGAAAACTTATTAGCCAAAGATAATTTGATGGATGTTTGCCCACTCCTCTTTCCTCCTTGATTCTCTCCATCTTTATCTTGTTTGGCTTTCCTGTGTGTTTCCTTTCTTCATGTTCCTTCGTTCTTTCCTGCCTTCCTCTCTATTCTTGCTTTTCTTCCCTCGGTCTTTGTGTTCTGTCTCCATTTAGTTTCCTCTGCCATAAATTAATTGTGAACTTTAATATGTTATGTTTTTGACTGAATGTGGAGGACTAATCTCTGGAAAATGGAGTCTTGGAGAAGTCTGGAATTTTTATATGGGAACTATGTAGGAATCCTGTCTGTTCTGTGTTTGCATAGAGGCGCTGGAGGGGGTCTGGGGTATTTTAACAGACGTTGCTGAGTTTACTGTACAGCATTAATGTTTATTGTCTCCACAGTCGCCAGCATTCTAATACGGTCTCCTGTTTCTTTCTCTGTTTTTGTTTGTGTGCCTGTCCGCTCCTGTTTGTGTGTTTCTTTGCAGTATGTGGTCGTTACAGTTTGTCTAAAAGCTGGAATGGAGACCACCGCTTGGACCAGGGTAGGAGCATTAACACCCCTTAATAAACCCAACCACATCTGCAATATCTTGCTCTTAAATAAAAAAGATATTGTTTTTTTTTAAAAGGTCAGTTCTCTCCATAGTTGAGAAAAATCTTGCAGGTTTTCTCTAAATCCAGCTTCTTTTACAGTTTTCTTCCTTGCACTTCATGAGTGTTTTCATTTCTTTCTCAGCAGTATTTCATATGTACAAAAACAGAGTCTAGGAAACATCCAAATGATAGATTAACCCTCGAGTCCGGAGGCCTTACCGTGAAGCAGCTGAGACGGATGCTAAATATGCTCTGAGAGATTCATCTTGAAAGGAACAAAGGAGGATCATAGTTGCTCCAACAGAGCATGGCGAAGCAGAAAAACACCCCAAACCATCAATCATACTGATATTACAGTTAGAAAGAAAAATGGAGTCACTTTGACATTGCTAACGTGGAGATGTTTTATTCAACTCACTTTCCTCTTTTTGGATTACTGTTATAGAATTGTTATAGAAGACCACTGATAATCGATATGGTTCTGATGGTTCTGTTCATCATTTTCCAGCTAAAATACTACCTGTACTTATTTATGAAACTGTGTGTTGGCCAAATTTTTGGCCAACATTTCCAATCCCAGCATATTCTTCAACAAACTGCAATTGAAGGCTATAAAATGGATAAAACAGAGGAACCTGGGGCAAGTTAATCGGCCTTCCTGTTATCTGCTGAAAATCTCTGTCTGTTGCAGCCTGGATGAACCACAGACATGCCCCAGTGTTTGTAGAAAATATTGTCTATTCAAATAGAATGCTTCAATGATACCAAAAACTTGTAACCTGGTGGCCTTTATGTTTAGTTTGTTTACTGAAAAAATGTAATTTCCAAGACTCCATCAGGCCGGTCACCTTTCTAAACTGTTCTTGATCCTTAACACGAGGTGTCAGCTTTCAGTTCTTAACCACCAGCAGAAGTGGAGGTAAAGTTTGGGAAAACAGAAGCTCCAGCTGTGACGGTGACATTATTTTGTTAGTTCCCGCTGCCAGAGTGACAGACTGGCAGGACAGACAGCGAGGCGCTGACACCTTTGTCCGTTCAGCTGTCCACACAACAGTCTGGGAGTAATGAAGTGAGGTCCCGCTGGAATTCACACAGTGTCCCCTTACAGCACATCACAGAGACAGATGAAGACTGGGGACGGACGGAGGGAGGGAAAGGTTGGCTATATTCAGAGCTATTTGACCTCGTCTTGTCTCTGTAATCTCCCTTTTTGTTCTTGTCTTCCCTTGTCTGTGTCGTAGTTTTCCCACCTGGCCGTTTGGGGAAGCATGGCGCTCTGGATGGTCTTCTTCGCCGTGTATTCTGTGTTCTGGCCCGCCATCCCGATCGCCCCCGACATGTTGGGCCAGGTAATTTACTCTCCATAAAGCAGCTGATCCCTGAATATTGTTATTTTTGAACAATCGCCTGTTTGCCGTTTCTCCATGACGGGCACTACTTGGCGTCCAAGAGACTCACCTCTTGGGTGTTCTATGTCTCCGCTGCTGGAGCCCCCCCAGGAGGGAGGTGTTTACCTAGTGGACTGCCCCACACCTGCTGTGTGTCACCCAAACTTCGGTCTTATACTACTCTCTGAGGAGGTGTTGACTCATAAGGGTGGGCTGCTGGTGATTGTGATGAGGACCGAGCAGAGGAGTGAGGAGAGTGTTTGAAGAACCCCCTAATTGGGAGACTGATTGCAGAGGTTGGGGATAAAGACCCCGGTGGGACTGGGCGTCCCACTGAGTGGACATGGAGAAGCAACAAGACCGTCTCGACTCTCTCCAGCCCATTAATTCAATTTGTGTCAGAAATCAGGAATGCGGTCAAATATCCCTGCAGCTGCTCAGACTGACTGAGTCGGAGACACTCAGCCATCACAACCCCCGTAACTACCCCATTACCTCTCTTATTTCCCCCTCCTCCGGCTATCTATGTGTCCATTTGTCCAGGGGGGAGGGCAGCGCAGGATGAAACGCAGCATAGTTATGCTCAGAATAACTGAGGGTGGCTTTAGGTGGCACCATCAGCCGTTACAAAAAACGTGGAAAACATTCATTGCTTTTAACTGATTTAAATGAATCAGTTAATTCTCAGACGTGAGAATTATACTATTTAAAGACTTCATTATCTAGTCCATTGTCTGAATGTTGTCTTTCTTTTTCTTTGTCTCTTATGTGAGCACCTCTGATTTTATGTCCTTGCTTCATCCTTTTTATTCCTGTTTGTTTTCTCCATCCATCTTGGATTTCCTTGAATGAGTCTGTTCTCCATCTTTCCTATCTTCTTTTCTACTGTTTTTACTTCCATCTTTTTCATCCTTAGGCCCAGCTTGTGTTATGCCCTTCAAATGAATCCTTTCCTCCGTCCTTACTTATTTCCCTGATTTCCCCCCCCCCTCTTTCTTTTCTATCTTATCCTTCTCTTCTTCCTCCCTTCTTTTGTAATTTTCTTGTCTATCCTTCCTCTATGCCTTTCTTTCCACCTTTGTCATTTCTTCCTTCATCCTGACCACATCCATGAATTTAAAATAGTTTTTTCAAATAAGCTATGAAGGTGTTTGAACCCTGGTCCTGTCGTCTCTGTGAAGGTAAAACCACTGAAGCAGTGAAACTCACTGAGGTGATAAAAATGTTCATAGCTACATACAGACCTTTGGAAAGTTGTGTGAGAAGGAGAAGACAAAGATTAGCAACAGCAGGTGAGGACAAGCAGCAGAGACAACAGTCAGTAACTGTGAAAGAAGGTTGCGAAAGAGAGATTGAAGGGAATTGCAGGAGAAAAGATGTGTGGGAGTAAGAAGCAGAGAGAGACACGCAGACTGACACAGTGAGACAGTGGTTGGACGCATGATTAATCTTGGGAGACGGACCGAGAACGGGGGCCAAAGGTCAATGAGTCGTGCTGCAGCTGGACTGCATGGACAGGTAGGGGGTAGAATCTGTGCGGTTTTTGTTTCTCAGCAGAGAATTTCAGTGAATCCATTCTGTGGAGCGGAAACAAGCTGTGAGAAAGCTGCAAAATATGTTGGGATAAGAGTTTAATAAGTTTCACACTCTGTACTTAATGCACTTTAAAACTTAATCATCTTTGCCACATATAGTCCTGTGGAAAAGTTTTCACCACACTTGAATTTTATCACCTTTTTATGATTGAAAACCTTGTTACAACCATCAACTTTAATGCATTTTATTGGGATTCTATGATTTTGACCAACACAAAGCAGAACGTACAGTAATTATGGAAGGAGAAGAAAAAGGATTTTAGATTTCTGTTTACAAAGAAACTTTTAAACTATGAATCATTTTCTCCTTGGCACTATACCCTGGGTGTGTAATAGTGCTTGAAGATGCTTTTTGTATAAACGCCCTGAAATAGTTTGATTTTCAAACTATGCAGGTTTGTAGTAAAGTGCAATCTTATGTTTGATTAAAAGCCTAAATTTGGAAAAAGCTCCGTTGAAACCAGATATTTACATACACCTAATGAAGACACACAGATGTTTTTCGACTGAACTTTTCTTGTTTTTAAGTTAGAATTACCAAAAATATTTCTATTTACTAAATGGCAGAAAACTTGGAAAGAATATTTTTTTTAAATATATTTTTTCTTTCTTTGGATTGTGCTGAAGCATTTAATTTGAGCAGGAACGTCATTTACCTTCACACAATTTGTTTGGATTTTTTCAATGTAATAAATGTTTGTTGTTCCTAACAGTTAAATGACGTATCAATCTGTGCAATTGAAGTAAAGATTGTCTTATATTCATACATAATTTATTTATTTTTTTAATTGGGTAATTTTATTTATTAAATTTGTATTTTGTTCTTGAACCAATCAGATGTAAAGAGTGTGAGAGACATTTTAAAACATAGCATTTGGTTACATTTTTATTTACCTGTAGAATACCTTCACAAGACATTATCAACAGAAATAAAAGTCTGAGTCATGAAACATATGAATTTAAACAGTTTTTTCTTTATTTGTTTTTATCTCCAAAGTGTGGTGCTGGAAAGGTTTGAAAACTTGCCTTGAAAATGCTTGAATTTTACTGTGGGCGAAGTGTAGGAACCCTGAATCTTGCGCTTTGTGCACTGGAAACCTCAATAAAATCATCAAAGTTTGTGGTTTTAAGGAGATAAAGGGAGAAAAATATTATTTTGTGAGGCACTGTATGTGAGGTTTTGCGAGCTCAGGGTGGAGAAAAATGGGTTAAACTTGAATTTAAATCAAAACATAACTGAAACCAAATGTCGCCTGTGTGTCGTCATTGTAGGCTGGTAAAGTGATGCAGTGCTGGTACTTCTGGCTGGGTCTGGTCCTGGTGCCCACCGCGTGTTTACTCAAAGATTTCGCTTGGGCTGCGTAAGTAGAGCACATTTAACATAAATACATTATAAAATCTACACACGGGCTGTATAAGTTAAGCGAAATGTTTACGTAACCCATATTGAGTCCATGTCAACACTGACGCACAGCGGATTATGAGCTGCATGTGTCTGCAAAGCGAAGTAATCCAGACCTTGTTTTGCTTTTTCCTTTTTTTTTCCTTTTCTTTTCTGCAGGACACGTCGCACTTTGAGGAAGACTCTGCTGGAGGAGGTGCAGGAGCTGGAGGCGCGGGCCGTTGACCCGGGAGCCGCGGTGCTCAGGGACTCCAGCGGCCGCAGGTGCAGTATATGAAAACACAAATTAACGTTGTCTCATCAACATTAAATTATTATTGTTATTATTTTTGTATTTCATTTAGAGTTTTTGTATTGGTACAGTTTCCCTTCATTCTAGATCTATCTCAGTTTTTCTTTTGGTAAATATTCTGTATGCATTTTATTCTTCATGGAAATGAATTAATCTACCCCTGTGGCACTGCCCACAGAGCTGAATCCAAACCTGAGGTCCCATAGACCCAGAACTGCTCCACAGAGGTAGTTTTTAGGTTTGCCCTGTGAACTCTGGCCTTACATGACCTGCGTTTCTTGTTGCACGCTGACTTTTGAGTGACACTCGCATGGTTTTCTCTCAATCACATCTGAAAGGTCATGTATATTCTCTCTTCATATGTCTTTAAATTTTTCCATTCCTCTGGATTTTTTCTTTTTTTTTTTTTTTTAGGTGGACCAATTTGAACTGCTGTACAGACCTGGTGTGTTTACTGTTTGGCTGTAGCTCCTCAGGCTGTGACTTAGTACTCTTGTGTGTGGTGTTTGTAGAGTTGTGTTAGAATGAAATAGACCGGGGATTCAGTTAGTGGAGAATCCACAACCAATTTTTCCGATTAGCACCTCAAGTTAAAACCCTAATTTATTTTATTATGCATTCAAAAGCCTTGTTTGGCTTCTGTACACACATTTTGGATTGTGAATATTAAAATGAAAGAAAAACATCCACTTAAATGTCTTGTAATGGTGCAAAAAAAGTGTAGTTAGTATGGGTCTAATTACATAAAATACTAAGACATAAAAGGTTCATCAAGAAAACAGTTGGCATGTGATACAACCAAAAATCAGACATTATTTTATTTTATTTTTTTATTAAAAAAAATAATAATAAAACATAGTTCACCCCCAGTATTTGCAGAGGTTGGGGACAACAACCACTTCCAAATTGTTGAAATTGACAAATTCTTCTAACACCACTTACATTTGCATATTTTAATAGTTTAAACAGCTTCATAAGCCATATTTTCTCTAGAATATTTTTGATATGTGAATACTGAACTGAGGATAGACAGGATTCCAATGTGCCATCTCTCTCCCAGTGTGGTGGAAAAGCCAACTAATGTCCTTGTCCAAACTTGATCATCTCCATTCTTGTAGTTTTAATCTAATTAGTGCTCAGACTGCAGACTAGCCATTTCCTCACATGTGAAGATCAACATGCATGTCTTATGTGAATGGCATGTTTTTCCCAAAGCGTAGTCACCACGGGGAATCAGTAGGTTTATTTTGTAGGGTTTGTTGCCAATGTAAGTGTTGATAATTTTCTCTAAAAGTGCCAGTAGTGGTAAAGTGTTCCATGATGCATTTTCTAACTAAAAAAAAAAAAAAAAGGGTGAAGGTTGTTCTAACTTTTCATCATCTGATATGTGGAGTGTTTGCTAAATCGATTCCAAACGCAGCTGGCTAATTGAACGAGTTGGAAAAGCCTAAATTGTGCTTCAGGTTTCCGAAGGATAAGTGGGGGAACCAAACATATGGCCTCATCCTTAATCAAACTGCTTTCCAAATGAGAATCATCACCAGATCCTTCCATCCGCTCCATTTCAAATCAGAGAAGGAAAGTATGGAAGGTCAGAGAAGCAGTGGTGGGAAACACTGAAATAAGAACACATCTGTGTTTCAATGCTGGATTTTTTATTTTTTTTGTGTGTGTGAGTGTGTGTAAGGATTCAAAATGGAGCATATCCTTGGGCTCCTTTTGAACCGGCAGGAATTTGAGGGGAGAAGGCTAAATGTCCAGCTTCCATTTAGCCTTTTATGATTCAGCTCTGTCATCGATCTAACAGACGTTTCTTTTTTCGAGGCCAAAGAAGTCCTTGAGCGAGCTCAAAAGCTGTTTGTTACTTCTCTCCGGTAGAAACTCGAGGGAAGATTCCCAACAGTTTCCTGGCTCCCGGATTCAGATTGTAGCCCGGGGCATTCTGGCCCAAGTTCATAACTAGCCCACCGATCATAATCGCTGCAAAATACATCAGGTTTCAGCGCAAACCCCTCGGTTTCACGCTGTTTAAACACCAGAGGATATAAAGTTAACTATACATCCTGGTCGCTGTCGGCGTCCTAAACGTTTACATCCCGTGCATATACTTTTATGACTGCCATGACGGTGATGAGACAGGGAGGGAAATTCATGATTGTGTGTGTACGTGTGGAATATGTGGCGAGAGCTTAGTTATTTTTGGTCAGGGGAGGAGAGGAGCCGTGACGGCGTGTGGTCTTAAAACAGAGGGGCCACTCTTCGCCGTGGACAGGAGGAGTTATGAGGAGAGGAGAGGAGCCGGGGGGAGAGGAATAGTTCACTGTGCACGGCTTGTTTCCCTGCAGGCAGTTGTTGGATTACAGTTGGGCTTAATTAAATCTCCAAAACATGCATCATTAAATCCCTCTGGACCTAAACTCACTTTACATGTTGATCAATGTGTTTTGATTTAGATGCAATCTACCATTAGCCCTCAGTATTGGGGAATAGTGTTGATTTTCACTCTGAAACTGCAGATTAATCGCTCTGCCTTTCGTCCGTGTTGCAGTCTAAACGAACGAGCCCATCTGCTGACAAGAGTATTTAGGAAAACGCCTTCAAGTGTCGGACGCTCCAACTCGGTGCAGCAGACGGTGTCACGTGAGTTTCCTTAAGCACAGTAGAGCCTTGCAAAAGTATTCACACTCTTTGAATTCTTAAGTTTTGTTGCCTTACAGCCTCCATCTTCTGTTCTTTTATGCAATAGACCAACAAATATGAGCAGCATATTATTGTGAAAAGGAAGTAAAACAAAATGTGTTCAAACAGCATGATGCCGCCACCACCATAGGGATGGGCAGTGTCAGCTTTCCTCCTTTTATAACCTTATATTTCCAGATAAGATGAATTTAAGCTGAGCTTAAAACAAAGGTCAACTCAATTTAATAATTTGTTGACTTCTGGAGGTAATTGGTTGCACTTCATTTTATTTATGGTTATTAAAAAATTGAGGCTAAATAGAAATGCTCCGTTTATTTAAATAAAAAGAACTGAACATTATGTTTTCTTTCACTACAGTGCTTCACTGTTAAATTACGTTAAAGATTTTAATTCCAATGTGACAAAATGTGAAAAAGTTCAAATTTTTTCACCTAACCCTTACTTGAACTCCTACTAACAGGCGACCAAAAATGGCGAAGGGATTGGATTTATGAGTCTGATAAATGCTCTGGATAGAACAAAACCAATTATTCTGAGAAGAAAACCAATGTTGAGACAAGAGAAATTTTTTTAAAATTACCAAATTTTTAAATATCTTTTATAAAAACCCTAATCTAGAATATTGAAAGAATGATAGAATTCGAATTCAAAGCCTTTTTAGTAAATTTTGCTGTACATAAAGTGATCCAAAAGGACAAAATGGCTAATATGGTAAAGCAAATATTTAAACACTCAACTACAAATGGCATTTAAAACATTGATAACTGAAGTCTGATAGTGAGAGAAGTTGCTCTTGTTTGAATTGTAAACATTTCTCCTGTTTTGTCCTTTTTCAGATGGCTATGCTTTCTCTCAGGAAGAGCACGGCGTGGTGTCCCAGTCCCAGGTAGTTCGGTCCTACGACACCACCCGCCAGCGCCCCAGCCTCTAGCCGCCTCCGCCCGCCCGGAATGAGGCATCGGCTCAACGTAGCAATCGCTGTCACAACGACAGCCAGATAAACTTCAGAGCCACAATCTGACCGGCCTCTGCCGTGGCCTTACTGAGACAGTGACGTGGCCTCCCTGTCACTTGGGGATGGGAGGATCACGGTCGGGTGGGGAGGGGCCGTGTCTGGAGGACGGGACCAGGCTAATTACTGAACAAACTCCTAAAACAGCTGCACAGGCATGAGCAAACCATATCCCAGACATGCCAAGACACTTGTACCTGTATACACCTCAGATCGCTTCACGCCGCTGTGCGTCGACGTGTGTTTGTGCGCGTGTGTGTGCCTGTTTCAGTTGGTTTGCGTCTGCCTGTGCATGTTCGTCTGCACACCGTGGCGCTCTGCGTGTGTGCATGTGTTGTCTACGTGCGTCGCTTCCACGGTTTACCGCTAGTCTCCAGCAAGGAGGATTCTGCACATCTGTCGTCACGCAACGAAGCGGGGACAGATGTCAAAATGATGGAGTGCGGGCTCTGCACCTCAGCTACACACCCAGTTTTGGCTCCATGGCAGCACCAAGCTTCACTGCCAAACACCACAGAGGTGCGGCTGAGGCAGAACACTCCACCTCAAACGTGGACCACCACCTTGCTGCAACATCCCTCTGAGACCTCCTCTTGTTTATTTCGTCCTCGCTCTTATCTCTTCATCTCATTGCATTTCTGCAGCCACCGTGTTCATTTTTCTCTGGACAGTTTTTAGGTCCGTTTACACTCGTTTAACGCCATCAGCTGATGTAGAAGCAGCATGCCCGTTTTTAATGTTTCCCCCTTCCAGGTCTGTTGGGATGTCTGCTCTTAACTAAGCATTTTATTTTTATTTTTATGATGAAAGTGTACATTCATGTGTATGCGTTTATATATTTTTTTTCTTTTTGACATATGTTTTTGTACTCATAAGTCGGGGAAGACCCATTAACACCCGAAGGAATATTTTACTTGAACTCCTACTAACAGGCGTCCAAAAATGGCGAAGGGATTGGATTGAGGACACTTGCATGAATCATGTGTTTCTCTGCACTGTCTGAATGTCCATTGTCTGTGTGCTCTGTGTTGAGGACACTGTTTTAGGAATGCAAGCTTGAAGGGTTTGTATGGGTGGGTTGTGTGGAGCGGGTGAGGGGCGGGGGGAAGATGTCCATCCAAGTCCTAATCATTAAATCTAATCAATCCGTGGCCCGAGCTCATGTCTCTGTGTTTTCACTGCTGGTTGAAAGGTTTTTGAGTCTAGCTGTAGCTCCAGGGAAGCTTGGTTTATGTTTCAGGCTGAAAGTGTGTGTGCAGACCACAAGGGTTTGACATGAGATACGTGCAGTGTTGTCTACATTTACTAGCACCCCTGGTAAGGATGTAAACAAAGTCTTCATTACATTTTGGAAAACCTTAAATTTGAGTATTGTTATTTTAGTCCAGGTTATTTGAATTAAACTACTTTTAGCAAGATTTTTAATGTAATTATTGGTACCTGTAACAGTTACCATGAAATAAAGAGGATCTGCATTCAACAAGCCAGCCATTTCTGGAATAGGGAAGAAAGCCGTAGCAAATCTCAGGGGGAGCTGGAACAACCAAAATTAAATGTTTGCCCTTCACTCAAAACTGTATGTGCCGTCTCAAGTGCATGATGCTCCCAACACCACATTATACCACAAATATGGAGTTTTTCTCTATCCAGGGCTAAATCCAGGGTTCTCCTGGAGAAATCCTGTTGGAGGCTTTTAAGAGTTCAATCTGACCTCAGACTGGGGAGATGGCTCGTTTTTCTCAAAGGAGCGGCTTCAGAAGAACTCAGTGAATGTCCTGCAGAGTCCAGACTTTAATCTGACTGAAAATCTCAACATAAATCATCTTGAAAACTTGATATGAGCTGAAGAGAAACGACCATAAAGGCTGAGCCAAGAAAATAGATGATCTGGAGATCTGGTCAAATCTCTCTCTCTCTCTCTGTCTCTCTCTCTCTCTCTCTCTCTGCCTCTCTCTCTCTCTCTCTCTCTCTCTGTCTCTCTCTCTCTGTCTGTGCTCCATCCTTCCAAAATGTTCCACAGAAAATACTGTCCTATTGGCAAAAGAAGCTTCTTGTACTGTATGAATAGCAGGGGCGCCAATAAATACGGCCAGAATCAAAGTTCTCCCACACTTCACCATTAAGCTCAGGAGAGTCCTCACAGTCAGATCAGGAGGAGACCCCTCTCCCCCTTTCTCAGCTGGAGATCCTGTTCCCACCCACCTTCCTGGATGTGGCCCGGCCAAAACCAACCACAGCTGCTGCTGGGTGGAGAATCCATCTTTGGCAGGAAGAAATCCGTTCGGTTCTTTCAGTTCCCCTCCAGTGGCTCGTTCCACTTTATTCTTTTATTTCTGGAACCCGGACTTTTATGCGTCCACGTTTAAAGTTTCTTTGTGCTTTGAGTGCTGTGGGAAGCAGACTTGTCTGCGAGTGTGTGTCTTGTACTTCTTTGTTTGGCTGTTTAAAAGGGATTAAGTCGGCTCTTAAGCAACCAAAGTGTCTTTGTTTGAGAGTCACTTGTTCATCTGTTTCAATAAACCGCCACAACACAAACTTTCATCAGACCACATTCTGTTTCAAAATGTTTATTTATCAAACTTATATCAAAACGTCATCTCCTCCTGCTTTATATATTGTTTCAGAGGGATCGATAATGAATCCACGGTTTGTCTCACACAAGCTGCCGACTGAATCTCGCAATGTGCTTGTATTGAAGATGAGACGCACAAACATGCCATGCTTGGTGTCGCTGCATGTTCTCATAGAGTGCGTGTTCCTCAGCTGTGCAACATTCCACCGAATGACTGGAAATTAAGCACGTTTTGTTTGTTTTTCCTAACCCACAGCCAATAACTGCTACTTTTGTGACTTTTTAAAGTGGAAAACTGTGACTCAAACCTGGCCTGACTCCCTACGGCTGCAAGTTCACTGAACTGTGGAGCGTTTGTCACACGCACGCACACACTCCTCTCGCCGGTGCTGGTTCTCAAAAGCGATACAACTGAATGAGTTTTGGTTTTATCTGGTGCTTCTGCGCCCAACCTTTCTATAATGCCTCCCTGGGCAGTTGCCCATGTGGCCCATATCAAAAGCCAAATCTGCCTCTCAGAGGAAATAATTGATGGGGTTAGACTTTTAGATTCCTTGCTGGATATTTGTACTCTTGCTCATGTCACAGTAACACTTCCAGGGAACATTAACCACCAACCTTCTGTGAATACTGCCGTAGTTGGGGGGGGGGGGGCTTTGTGAGAGCTTTTCCGCTCGGGGCTGTTTTTTCTTTCTGGGTGGTGGGCAAAAGGCCTCGTGGGGGAACTGGTATAGTTGGGTGGAGCGTCACAGTCTGCGTCCCGTGTTCACTTCATTAGATTTTAAATGGTCTGCTGGGAGACTGCAACAGCCTTACACATCACACCACCTGCATTTCCCATTACACCCCGTTCACTCACAGCTACTCGCATAAGACCACATCCGTCCACGCTTCATGCTCACACTAAACGTCTGTCCACATGCTTTCTCTCCTCACGCTTTCAACACAAACAAACTGTACCATATTGTGTAAACTCACTCGCATTTATTCGCGGCCACAGATGTGCACGGTGCCTTAAACAAAACATGTGGTCTTGTTCTCTTCTGCTCAGAGATCCATTTTTCATGCTATAAATCAAACAGTCGTCACTCATTCCTGCACATATAAGCCAGCAAATCTCTTTTCACACTTTTGCACACAGGCCCGTGTGCATAGAAACGCAGGCAGGTCCGATTTGAGCTGCGTGTTGTACTGCATTGAACTGTGCGTCGTTATCCACCTGGCCCGTGGTAAACCCTAAAACATTCAGTTTTGCGGAGAATTGTTTATGGATCCATAAACCCCCATCACGGGTTGAGCTTAGCTCGGTGACACTTTGCCAAGAGATCATATGAAACGCCAACACACAATAGCAGGGCAGGTCCAGACTGGGAACAGCTTAAAAAGTCCTTCATGTGAGTCCGGACTCCTTGATTTCTTTTCTTTTCTTTTTGTTGTTTTCTCCACTTTGGAAGTGAGCCCAGACGTCCATGCTCCAACAAGATCCAGAGTGGTCTGCAAGTAAGCCACCCTCCCCCCTCACCTCCATCCTCATCACACTGTTACTGGAGGGCCTTTGTTGTCACTGGTGGCGCTGGATCCTGCTGTTGGAGGAGGACAGGGGGACTGGAGAGGTCTGTATGGCCCCTGACTGTGGTCTAAAAAGGCCGCCGTAGGGGACACAGGGTGGGCGTAGCCGATGTACTGTGGGTGCATGAACTGTGACTGGTGGGACATGATCTGGGTGGCCTGCTGGCAGTTGAGAACTGAGAAGTTGGTGGGCATGTTGACGAAGACGCTGGCGTCTGGGGGCAGACAGCAGGAGGCCTGAGCCCGCATCCGAGGAGCGGGACCGGGACCGGCGCGGGCCCCGGCGGGCGGAGCCGAAGAGCTGGACGAGGTGGCCGTGCTGGACTGCCGGGACGACGAGCCCCTGGAGCTGCTCGCCATCATGGGGATGGTTTCCAGGAGGCGGCCGCCGGTGCTTCCGCTTCCTGAGGCGCCAGCTGAGGAGAGCTCCTGCTTCGGCCGGAGGCAGCGGCAGCAGCACACGGCGACCACAGAGCCCACCAGGATGAAGGCCACAAACACAGATCCCACGATCAGGAAGGGCACGTAGATCGGCACTGAAAGGAGGAGACACAGGATTATTAATCAAGAGTTTACAGTGTTTCAGCTGGCTTCTAACATAAAAACTAAAGCAGTTTCACATTACTGCCACAGACATCTGAGTATTTCATGGGAAAGACCCACACAAAGCACAAATTTATAATGCATAAGGAAAGTAATGGATGGTTTTCAAAATGTTTGTTTTGTTTTGGAAAAATCTGAAAAGTGTGGTGTGTTTTTATTCAGCTTTCTGGATCAATACTCGTCTTTGTGGTATGGCTCTACCAGCTTTGCTCATCTCGATTCCAGTCTTTGTCACACAGCTCAGGTCCATTAACCTGGATGCAACACCGCTTTTCTCCACTGAATTCTGACTTTGACTAGGCCATTCTGACTCATGAATATTTTACATCCCATGATCTATTGAATCTCTGACTGTGTTTTTCAGCCTCTGTTTCACTCACTGCTAATGAAAAAGCATTCCCACAACATGACTATGCCACCACCGTGTTTCACTGTGGAACTAATGCAAGTCTATTTGCTGGCATCAGTATTTAAGAAAGCACCTTCGAGTGTTGGATGGCCCAACTTTTGAGTGTCCTCAAAGAAAAACAGTTTGAACAAAGTCCCGCTATTCAGCCCTTTACAAAAGCGTTCGCACAATTTGAACTTGTTTGAAATATTGTCCCCAACAATAAAAATGCTGCATAGTTTTCTACATTCTTGGATTAAATAATTTGATATATCCCCCTCAGTTGTTCACAAAGAATGATACCGCCGCCACCATGTTTCACTACGGGGGGATATGTTGTGTTAGTTTTTCTCTACTCATGACATTTTGCATACAAGTCCGACTTTTGACCAGAGAACTTTCTTCCACGTGCTTTCTGTGTGTTCTCTAAGCAAAGCCGCCAGTGGATTTTATTTTTGAGGCTTTTTCACAAAGACCATAAAACTGTGGATCTTTGCTGCTCCTCCACAGCTGCCATGAGTCCCTCCAGTTATTAATCTTGTAGTTTATGTGCATCATTGTCATGTAGGTCTTCTTTCTATTTTCGGATGATGGATGTAACAATAAAGAGTCCAGAAGTTTAAATGTTACGACACTGTTTTACAACCTCATCCTTCTTCAAACTTCGCCACAACTTTATCCCTGTCGGGTCTGCTCCGTTCCTTGGGCTTTGAAAACGTGCATGTAGATTTTCCGAGATTGTAACTTGACAAAATGTGGGAAAGGTTTAAGAAGCATGAAAACTCTTTGTAAAGGTAGTAAAACGACAGACTGGACAAGGCAAGTGTTTGTTGCAGATTAAAAGACAGAGAGCTGTTGGGGTCCCCAGGGTTTCTCAGGCTCTCATTAGCAGTTCTGATCTGTTTTAATCCTCCACGCCCTGCTGTGTCCTCAGCCTCCTTCAGCCCACAGATTCAGTGTGTGTGCGTGTGTGTGTTGGACTGGGTAATGTTCTTAAACCCAGCTGCCAGTGGATATTTGTGACCCCTCTTTTTCCTCAGCTATTTATGACTAAGCTTATGAAAATAAGTTACTTTAGCTGAACTGCAGCACTTGGCATCAGTTTAAAGAAAGGCTTTAAAGTGGACTGATTTAATGTTGCATTGAGAAGTTATTCCACTCTGTAAATCAGAGGAATAAGCCGGTTCCTTCTCACTGACCTTTCTGAGTTTTTTTTTTTAAGTTTTTTTTTCAAGTTAAAACAGCAAATCATGCTCGGAGCTTTCACAGCTCCGCCAATCGGAGTCTGTTGTTGAACATGGAAAGTCTTGACAGTTTTACATGCGAAAACCTCAGTTTTAGAGTGTTAATGTGTTAGGAGAGCAGGAAGCGCTCCAGGAACAACTTTGGAACCTGATCAGCGAGAGCGCTCCAGTTTTTCAACAAATTGGGAAAGTGCAGAGAGAGCGAATTTTGCCCAGACGCCGTATAACATGATGTCACTCATGAGGTGTTTCCTGCACCCATTCATTCCCTCCAAACACAATAACGTCCATGTGACATTTAAAGTGATTAATTTAGTCTTATTGTTCCCACAGGGTGTAGCTGAGCGTTGTTAGGAGGCAGAACTGTGGGCCAGTGAGAGAGAGAGAAAAAGGTGGCAGCCTGCTCCAGTTTCCTTTTGTCTCTGGGCTCTTTTGAAATGCACCCGTTTGACTTTTTCAGAATGCTCATCAAAAGTCGCAGGGCATTAAAAGGATTACAGCATGATACTTTTCCAGAGTGGGAGGGAGATTCGCGGGAACATGAAGGAAAACTGGACCTTGACCCGTTTGCATTTGGTGGTGTCACACCTCGCTCCGAGCCTCGCAGCAGAGATATCTCCAAGAGTCTTTCCTACCCTGCAGTAACGCAGCTTCAGTTTCAACATTTATGCCTCCACTCCCCCTGTTCTCTGTGCTTCAAAACTTTTTTGTGTGTGTGTGTGATTTCATCCCTTCTTGCAGATCTACTTTTTCTAAAATCACCTTTTAAATCAACGGTGGAGGAAGAAAAAAAGTCGAGTTTCAAGTTTTACTTGCTCAATCGCCCATAAAATACAGTCTGGCATTGTGGTGAGAAATGCAAACAAAAGCCCCGTCACAACTGGATAGGTGGGCAAACAAATTTTTCATTTTACTAGAGATACAATATTATACCTATATCAAAAATCTACTTCAAATGAATGTTTTACATCCTTATACCCTTGTTCTTTTTTTTGTTTGTTTTACCTTTTGCCACGCTACAATGATGGCCTTTTAGAGTTCTATTAAGATTTGACCGTTTTAAATAAAGAAAATCTGAAGGTGTCCACAAACACCTTCATGAAGACCAAGCAACACAGCAGAAAGGTCAGGAATGGGAGCGATGTTCATCCCTTCATCAGAACGACACAACGTCAAACCTACCAAGACGTGAACATTCACCTAAAGTGAGAAAAGCAAAAGTCAGAGAAGCACCCCAGGAGGCCCCTGGTAGATCTGGAGGAGCTCTACCAGCTCAGGTGCAAGAATATTTTCTACATATCTGGCTTTTGTGAAAAAGTGCCAATTGAGATCAAATCAGAACGTTTAAGTCTCCGTGCAAAATACTGTAGGTCAGAAAGCAAACACTGCTCATCACCAAAAGTAGAAAACCACATATTCTTCCCCTGTAGTCTCACAATTTCACACTAAATTGTACTGGTCAGTCACATGAATCATAACATGAAAACCTTTACAAGCCACCATTGAACTTTATCATCTAACTAAAGAATTGCAATGTACACCTGAACAGCTGGAGAACAAACGGAACCGAAAGGTTCGCTAAAAATCTGACTTAGATCTGCATTTAAATGCTTTAACGTCTCATGTATTGCTAAATTTTGAGACAATTGTTGTGTTTCTAGTGTCAATTCAGATTCCCTGAATCCTACCTTCATGCTTTGAGTGAATAAAAAAAAAAAAAGAAGCAAGAATTGGTTTTCATGCACATGCTGGTCGAAGCTCCCCCATTGTTTTCTGTCACTCGTCCACACCTGTTGCTGCCGCTGAGCTGTGGCAGCCACGCTGCAGTTAAAAGCCCTCCACCCCCTCCACCTTTAAGCTCTTGTTTGGGGCAGAGTCTGTTTGAGGCTGGCCGGCCGGCCAGCCTCTGTCTCCTCAGGCCGTCCCACAGGGATTCTCTTGTTCCTAAATACCACATGTTCCCTCATGTTGAGCACATTAATAATTTCCTGCCACTGTATCATTCTGGAATGATGAATAGGCCACAAGCAAGTGAAAAATGTGCAAAAAGCGCAAAGTGAACAAAGTTTTCCTGTTTGAAAATAGCGTTCTCTCTAGTGGTGGTGAGAAAAACCAACCACTTTGAGGTAATTCTGGCAGGAGGCCACAGACTGGAATGTATTCCTCTCCCTGCAGTGATAAGGTATGGAAGTTGCAAATGACAGGTTACATTGCAGCTTGAAGACCAAGGACGAAAACAAGAAGTAAGCCTTTTCTGTCTTACTTCTTGATGCCTTTCAGTGGTAAAATGCAAGTTCAAAGACTTAATGAAAGATTACCTCATGGGAATGTTGGTAACGAGAAATGAGTTTGTTTTGTCATCAAATCAGCAACATAAGCTGAAAACTACAGGGTTAGCTGTTGTTTTTGGTAATTATTCCTCCCTGGATGTCAGGAGATTCCCCTCAGAGTGAATCTCCTAAAGCCCAGACACCAGAAAGACCGCAGTAGGTGGGAGGTGGGTTGTTGAACACGGAAATAACATGATTTGAGTTTTTCTTTTTTTGTGTGTGTGTGTTCTTTTCTTCCTTTATGAACAGTGCTGTCAGCACCCAGGGCAAGCCACTCTCCAAGATCCGGTCAAGTCCAAATCTGATCCCCGTGGGGACAGCGTGATTCGAGCCTGGCCCTACTCTGCACTGTTACAGAACAAACACGGCTATTTATAAAGTGCAGCGGCATGGCACAATTTGCCATTTGTGAGGGCTGTTAACTGGTTTTTGGAGGAGTCTGCTGTCTCCTGTGCAGCTGTCGCAACAGATGAGTCCTTTTTACAGAGAGCCATGGCTGCTGTGCGCAATGCTACGTCAGTGGAGGGGGAAAACCGGAGCTCCATGCTTTTCAGATTTGAAGATCAAGCCCAAAACAGCCTGAGTGGAGGATTTTCATGACGTTGTCCAACCAACAATATTAAAACATTCATATTAGGCTGGAATTTTTTTGGATGAATATAAACCTAATTATGGGCAATAAGGCTTTCTGCCCAGAGGGACACACTTCAGAGGGGAAGCTAAGAGGCAAAATATATATATATCTGTTGGAGAGATGATGGTATGGAGAGCTAAAAGTACCACAATAGTGGCTCACATAAATGCTTCTTAATGTGATTATTTACATAGAACTCTAATAAATAGCATCAATAAATAGAAAGTTCTTATTTGATCAATTCTTTCAATGTAATAATGTTCTAATACTTTATTTTTGTTTTAATTATATTTTAAATATTTATTGAAGAATATTTTTCCAGTTCCCAGTGTTTCTTGTAAGTTACAAAAAGAAAACGGTTTTGTTCGGCTTGGTTTTTAGAAGCATCTCCTCTGACAAGCGGGTCACTTTTACTGGCATCTATTCCTGCCATAATCACCACTGAGTCACTTTACAGTAAAGCAGTTAATGAGTAAAACAGCCTCGTCTCAGAGACTCCGAAAAAGTTCAAAATCCTCCAACAATTTAAGAACATGCTAAACCAACTGTTATGTTCAACATCCTTTGTTTAGTTTTTAGGATCCACAAAAATTCAATTCAATTCTCATCCACTTGTTGTGAATGAGAATTGCTAGGCTGTAATAGTAGAAGTTATGGACTGCGGCTGGTTTTGACATAAGTGTTAGGGCTTTCTGCCAAGGGCTGCATGTTCAGTGGGGCGTAATAAAACTGCCAACTCTGCTTTCAGGAGGCCTTTCTTTCTATTCAGAGAGAACGATGCCTCCTACAGTTCATAGGTGTATGAACTGTAAGACTTTATTGCTGGACACTAAGGGACAGTAAGAGCAGCTATTGCTACTGATGCTGGTATTTGAATTACAGCCAATAATTTGGTGTTATATTCCAAAGCTGTAGGGCCATTTCTTATGATTTCACCGCATTAGGATTGTTTAACATTGAGGCAAAAGTGAACCACGACTATTGAGAGTGGTCAAGAATGAAGTGGATTAGATTGGGGGGAAATGAAAGGGCTCGCCCGGGCCACCATTCATGACAGAACCGCCGCTGGTTGTGCTTCCCTACCTGCACGGGAGTCCTTGTCCTCTTTGCTCTCCGTTCCCGGTACCTCAGCTTGCTTGTCGTTCTCGCAGCTGCCCTGATCCAGCCGCGCGTCCGTGCTGGCGCAGCAGTATCGCAGCTCGCACTTCCCGCAGCAGATGATCGCGTCCTCCCCGTCGATCTTCTCCGGGCACTGGAACCCGTCTTTCCACGTCCCCTGCGAGTCCCGCCACCCGTGACAGTATTCCCCGCTGGCCTTCACGTCTATAACGACCAAGAGCAGAGTCATAACCACGGAGACGGACATCGGGAAACCTCCTTCACGCATTCTCAGCCACACGCCGGTGCGTTTGGATGCACGGAGGGACGCCTTTTAGTCTCCTGCGTCAAAGCCGGTGTAGCGGATGATGGTGATGATGATGATTTGGGTCAGAGTGGAAAAAAGACCTGAGAGGATGAAGGAAGACAGTTGAGGAGCAATCACAGGTGGTCATTTGTTGAGAAAATCCCGTGCGTAAAACACAGCCAACGACTCCAAAAGTAGGTTCCAAACTGCAACCAGTGGCGCCTTAAGCTTTAAATCTGGCCTAAAAAGAGAGTTAAAATAATATCCCAGCGGTGGTTAATGCAATATTCATTAAAGATGAATGAATTTCCCTTATTGGCAACGCAGTCCGGCTGTTCGTGTCTTCTCCGAGCTCTTCAGGCGACCTTCCTTAGGAATGCAGGGCAACCAACACATGAACCCCGATCCGTGGGCGCACAGCTGCTGCCCCAGTCAGTCCCGTGCCTAAAGATGCAGTTTTCAACTTTTCAGAAGTCTTCTGCATTGTTTAAAGTCAAAAGTCGGTCTGCCAAAACTGTACGTGGTATGTGTGTGTGCGTGTGTTGCTGCTGCCTTATTGAACTGCGCTGGGCAGAGTCTGCCTTAGTTTCGCTGGAGCGAGAGGGGCGTAAAAGAAGACAGATGCAAATGAAACACCTTACGAATTCTTTGAATGAATCACGTCAAGTTAGAAACTGGTTCGTACAACTTCCTGCTGAGGACCTTCAAAGTGCACACGCAGCCAGATTAATTGCAGTTCTTGAAACACTACCGTAATGGAAAGTTTAGTGGAAGAAAAAAAATGTCGGAAAAGATGGGTGAGTGAAAAAGGTGAGGCAAAGCATTCAACGCAGCATCTCCAAGCACTGTTTCTTCTTGATGCAGTATTTTATGCAAAAGGAGCCCCAACCAAGCAATCAATACAGATGTTATACAGAACATAAGCTTTTCTGTAGACCAATTTATCCATCTGTTTTATTTATTTATTTAATATTCTGCCCTTCATGAGAAACTGACTTTGGGTTTCCATTAGCTGTAAGTCATAATAACATAGAATAACTTTTTCGGTTATATTCTTATTTCCTAAGATGCATTTGTAAATTGAGCCGTGAGATTAGTCTATAATTTAGCTGACAAATTTGCTGGGTTAGATGCACTGCAGTGTTAGGAAATATCTGCTCTTCAACAGCAGGCCAATGAGATATTCTTCCTGTTGTTTAATTGAAATGATTGAATCAATGAATTAATGTCATAGCTAGAAGAACAAGTGAAATGACAACTCCTGCTTTACAAAACAAAGCAGACCTAAATAATTAAAGCAACAATCATGTTAATTATAAGAGCAAGACACAGAGAGCTAAATGTGCCTCACAATAAGTAACAAATGCAAAACAGATTTCTTATCTGCTGCATACTTGTTGCACAGTTACTGGAAGTTATTAAGAAGTAACAGAGTATAAAGGGTCTGAACACAAATGTACACCATCATATTGCATACGTATGACATAAATGTTGCAACATTACGTAGTGCTATGCAGGCAAAGACTTTTTTGGGGCATCTCATTGCAGCTCTTTCTTTTTCTTTTTCTCAGCACACATATTAATATTAGCAGAAACATTTCCATCTAGTGGTGTTGACCTGCATTCACACTTTTGCTCTTAATCCTTGTTAACATAGGGGCAGTGAAGAATAGACTGAGGTTAGCTGTGAACATTTGAAACTTTTGTCCGGATCTAACAGCTTTTTTAAGACTAGTAAAACGTGCCTGCAAGTCAACAATGTACCTTTATTCTGCAACATTTTCAAAAATTATAGTTTAAATGTTATAATTCACTCATTCCATTTTTGTGATGTGGGGTCATAGTTCAGGTATTGTTTTTGATGCCTATGTGCGTTTCTTCTTTCGTAGTGTTGCAAACAGATTATTTCTATATTTTCACTTATTATACGGCTCTATGTTTGTGACTATAGTGAAAAGTGTTTAGTTCAAGAATAAATCATCCATGCAGTCCATCAGTCAGGCCGGTTGGTGGCGGTAGTGAACCTTTAAGTTTGTTCTGCGATCAGAGGAGGAAGCAAGGGTATCCCGTGGTAACAGCACAGGAAGTGTCGCGCGACAGTTTAAAAACTGTATCGACTGTTAGCTTTTCTGTTGTGCTGATATCCCCGTAAAATCTCCTTTTCCTGCTTATTGTTCCTCTAATGTAAGTTTTTTTTCTAGGTTTAATTTGCCCTGAAGCCCGAAGCAGAAGTTTAAAGCAGTGGAAGGTTTGTGTGTGTGTTTTTTAAACGTTTCTCAGCTAATTTACTGCCTGAGCGATGCTTTTGAGAACCGGGCGGCAGCAGCAGCAGCAAGCCAAAGGGAAAAGATTCATTCGCCCTAAGAAAGCAGCAGCTCCTAAGAAAGACTGGGTGGTAAGAAGCACGGATTATTTAATTAATTAGAGATTAAAGGCATCAACTTGTGTTCGCTTTGAGCCCTCTCTGAAAACGAGAGGATAGTCATTTAGATGCAGATTCAGGCTGATTTTCTTAGCATCATTCTTGTTTTGGGATACATGACTGTTTTAATAATAATAATCCTACTAAGTGAGTTTTTTTAGAAACTCAGATGTAGCAGGTGGGAGTTTTATACCAGACCCTTTTTTAAATATACCTGAGCTTAGGTTTAGTTCTCAGGATGTGATCCTTTTTTATCACTGGATATGTAGAACCTCACAACTTTAGTTGCACTAATATCATCAAGACCTACAATCATGCTTTTATTTTCATATTTTGCTGAACGACTTTATTTTAAAATCTAATCACTGATCTTTTTGTTTCAGAGCACTGTCAATGACCTCTCTGTGCACAAGCTGAGTCCTGCTGAGCTGGTAAGATCTTTTATTAATAACAACTTTTTTAGGGGGGGAAAATGTCAAAGTGTGAATTATGTACATAAGAATCTGGTCGCCTTGTTTGATATGTGGTTCAGTTGCATAAAGGACTTCTTCCTTGGTTACGGTGCATATAAAAAGTATTCACACCTTGGATGTTTTGCTCTTTTATTGCTTGTAGAAATCAATCTTTTTTTTCACATTTAATGGCAATGTGAAAACCGATTTCTTTAAAACTAATGACAATTAAATAAAAATATTTTAAAGAAAATCAGTAAGTGCACAAGTCAGTATTTAGTAGATTCACTTCTGGCTGCAGCCGCAACATGGAGTCTGTATGGATAGATCTCAATCAGGCTTGCACATCTGGATGTGACTCTTTTTTTTTTCTCCGCTTCAGTATCATCGACATGAGATCCACAAGTCTCACAATAAAGCTGCGGCTCACTGGGAGCTCAGAGAGAAAGCCCTGAAACGTCGTCTCAGACATGCCGGCAGCTCCCCGGGCCTGAACTACACCAGCCTCAGCATCATCAGAGATGTGTGTGAAATGAATAATCTGGATTTCTTTTTTAGTTTTCCACACAGTTTCAAGCACAGTTCACTGGAGGAATGGTGATGTGTTGCTGCAGGTTTTCTCTGAGCAGCCGCTGCTGCATGATGCGCTGGCCCAGTCTGACAGAGCCTTGGCTGTGGTCAAGGACTTGTTTGGAGATGCTCCACGGAGGCAGACTGGTGAATGTTTCTACATGAACTCTGAGATTATACTCATTTGCTTCTAGAATATTGTCTCTTTAGATACCTCTTTCTGCTGCATGTGTACATCTGCAGGGCACCCCAGTGTGACTGTGGCTCCAAACTGTGACTCTGACGCAGAACTGCCTGTTCTCCAGAGACCTGATCCTCCAACCCAACTGTCCCTCCTCAGCCAATCCATAATGGATCAAGAGGTATGAAATGATGACACTTTATCTTTTAAATTTTCCTAAGAGATTATAATGGCATTTTTATAGTCAAAAATGTTTTTCCCAGGCACTTAATGAAGTAGACGTTTCCAGAGAAGATCTCAGAGATGAGGATCTGTCAAGCAGTTCAGGGAGTTGTTTCATCAGAAGGTATTAATCCATTCGCTAACAGCTTATTGTTATTATTAAAGGACTGCAGTCGGAGGGTCACATCCTCATCTGCATGATTATTACTAAACTTGGGTTTAATTCATCTTATTCTTAACCTTTCCACCTTCTGAAATATTGTTGTTCAAATCCTTTTTCCATGGCTCAAATCTGAGTGATTCTCTTTCTAAAGAGCCAATTCTAAAACCTGTGCAATTAAAGCTCTGTTAAAGCAGCTATTTAGCATTAACTCTTCTAGGAATGTGAAAGGATTGTTTTTGTTAATGAGATTAAGCTTCTTGTATATATTTAACACTGGATTAAAAAAGAAAATTCATAATGAATTCAAACTTTTCTGCCCAATTCTTTTTTTTTTCTAAGTCATCCTTAGTGGTTGTTGTGTTACCAATTCACAAATGAAAAAACAGCTTTAGAAATGTAACAATGTTAATGTCAGTGACTGCACAATTACTGTGTTTGCAGAACAAATATAAGGAAAACAAAAACTCAGACCAGAGTGACACAGAAGCAAAAAGGTCATCGTCTCGGGTCTCATGATAAAGAAAACATCCCTGTGACGCCCATCAGATCAGGCAGAGCACCTGACCCGACTGGTAAGCTTCATTCAGATGTTCTGTTTAATAGTCTGAAGCTTGAGAGAAAGACTCATCCACCCTTTTTCATTCCAGCTCTCAACGCCACGGCAGCTATTAAGCGTTTTCTGACCAAACGGCGTCCATCAGATGAAAACGAGGAAGAGGCTTCTGTCCTGGTTTCTCAAGTCCTGAATCCTGAACTGCCTTCACACCAGTCAGGTAATATCTGCAAGAAGCTAATTTTCTATTATTTAGTCATTTATTTTACCTTGAATGAATCAATCATTCAATTATTGAATTCTAGTGTTTCAAAAAAAAAAAAATCCCACATTTGAAATTTTTCTCAGGAAGAACAAGAAAACACACTGAGAAGACCAGGAAGGGCGTCTGTCGGGCCTTGGAGCTGGATGGCTCCTCAGTTGCGTCTCTTAGTGGAGACCAGTCCAGCCTGGGCCTGCTGCAGGACATGTTGGGCCAAGTCAAGGCGGACTTGGACACTATGAGTTCTGACACAGCACCAGAATCAACAGGGAGTCCAGAACCCTATGGAAGACAAGGTCTTACCGGATTCTCTGTTGCCTTGGTCTCCACGATTGGACGCTTAGTCCAGCTCATCAGAAAGGTATTTTTATTGTGGACTTATTAAACAATTTGAATCTTGAATTATTTGATTTTTTTCATTAAAATCAGTTTTTGTCTGTCATTTTATTTTCCCACACCTGATATAAATCAAAGTGGTCGAGGTTCTAAAGCTCAGACAAATTGGTGGCAATAATGTCATAATGGGAAAACAGAGAGAGTGGTGCAAAAAAAAAAACAACCTCAAAGATGATATTGTCATGGCATGTAATAGAGTGATGCAAAGTGATTTCAGGGTTGTGGTTCTGCTTCAAAGTGAATCTCTGCCCCAGTGTCAAGTCTTGCAGTTTTTTTTTTCTTTTGACCAGACTGCCATAAAAAGCAGATTTGAGGAAACGGTGACTAATTATTGT